AGAGGATGTTGGAGCTCAGCTTGGACATACAACACGCGCTTCGCCAGCTACAGTTTGTTACTTCACAAACTTGAAATTTCTGTTAATTATGTATTTTTTAAGATATCCTAGTTTCTCTTATGCCGTTGCTATCGCACATTTCCCGTGAGATTTTCGTCTCATGCGCCTACAGCTACGTCTGGAACCTGAAATTTCAATTTCGCTAGCATCAAGAAACTGCTTAATACAGAGGTTTTCCAAGTTTCAGCTATTTCTCCTTACTAAAGTGATGCAAAATTTTGTGCATTGATATCAAATGTAGCTTGGACGGATGGGTTGGGGCGAGGGGGGTGCCCATAGAATGCAAAATCAATAGGGATGGAGTTTATGCTGTGTTGCAAATGAGCATGTAGGTAATCTGTGTATATTTTATCTCCAAAGCTATAAATGTAGAATAATGGCAGCGGACAGGAGTGGGAATCATCAGTACAACCTCCCTGCCATCTCATATTCGTCGTTTTTTGAGAGTGCTTCCTAGTGCTTAATTGATTTTTTTCCGTCCGGTCTGGCGCTTTTTATGATTTTTCTCATTAGTTTTGCCTCTAAATCTCAAAATGATTTTGTTTTCCGGGAATAAAATTCGCAAAAATGAGGCTTCTGTGAGGCACAATTAATTGGCGCAAAATGAGACTCATTAGTTGCAGTTTGCAATTACACTAATGAATCGCAGACATGCGATGCAGTAATTCAGTGTGTGTGTGTGTGTGTGTATCAGTGCCACCACCAAATAATAAGGGATTATGAGGTAGAACGAGAAACCTTGCCATTGTAATCTTTCACATTGTCGATGTATTACGGTAGGAGCGAAACTGACCAATAGCAATTCCAGTGGGCGTGGCCAACAGTTAAACCTCACCATTGGTCAAAATACGGTAAAACAAGCATTCAGCGGGATTTGAGGGAGAAATTTTTTTCCGAGGGTGAAATTCTTTTTGGGTGAAGGGCAGTTGTTAAGAAACATGTGGGATCGGCCTTCTTGCTTTGTGCCGATCAAACTTATCTTAGGCTTAAAGCTGCTATGAGTTTTTTTGCCGGTGCTAATATCACCTGCAAGAAAGAAAATGAAAAATTCCGAACCCAACAGACTGCATAAACCTGTCTACGCTTTAAAGTAAGTGATGGAATGCTTGTGCAATACACACGAAGCAGTGAGTACCTCCTCGTAACTATAGAAACAATCAGACTCTCCGTCAGGTGAGCGGCGTGCAGGATATCGTTACAACCAAGTGAAAAAGTAAAATCTAATTGGTGTGCATTTAGCTTACTTCGTCAAAAATCAGTAGGTGCTTCATATTCTATAAGAAGGTAATTTAGCGGCACTCATTTGGTGTCCCTAAGGAGATAGCACGTCGCGCACACACGTCAAACACAGGGTGGATACTAACTGGAGATGCGCAGCTGAGGGTCGAAAGGGCTGGCATAGTTGAGTTTTGTGTGTAAAAGCATCCCACAAGATCCTTAAGTCGATTGCCCAGGCGACTTCAGGATTCCTGGTGTATACGCGTATGCATTTCTAGTCATGTGTATAATAATAATATATCCATTGAAAATAATTGATCTAAAAGGATCCTGAATAATGCAGTTTTTTCTGAAATTTTGCAAAAATTGCAGATCCAGTGGTTGATTAACAATTACGAGCCAGCTGATGGTACATCGCTTCCACGTTGCACCCTCTACAGTCATTATATTAAGTTTGTTTTTTCTCTCGTTTAGGATTTTTTGAATATCTTTTGCACAGTCCGGAATTCATCTTTACTTTTGGGCACTGATTTTCAACTTTTCTCTCGCATTAAGGAGCGGAATTTAGAATTTTTCCGTCATATTAATTGCGATATCGAAAAAAAAGATAATGACTGATTCTCTCAGTGCAAGGTAGTCCTTAGATCAGCAGATTATTCTCGTTTCGTTTCAATAGCCATGTTCAATTTTGTGAATATTACCACTGGGCATTAAAAACTCCAAATTAGTGACCAGCGCTAAGATCAAATGTTTGACATTCTCATTGGAACAGTTAATTCTTTTACGATTAATTCATTATAACAAATTGGTACTGGCATGTGCTTCGTGGCCGAAGTTGTTTTTAAAGCAACTCTCGAAAGTGGGGACTGACGATTTGTTTCCAATTAATGGTTACTGTAGAAACATTTCCAACTGCACGCGATTTTTTTATCTGTGAAGAGGTATCTTAGTTTTAGCTTTTGATAATTTTGAATTTTCAGGCATTGCAATGAGAATAAGTTGGAGCCAGTAAATGCGGCATCATTTGGCAAACTCATTCGGTCAGTATTTCACGGGTTACGAACACGACGCCTTGGTACACGCGGTAACTCCAAATATCATTACTACGGAATACGAATTAAACCCGATTCACCGTTAAATCGTGGCGTACCTGGTGTGATGACGGTTGGCGACGACTATGCGCGTAATCCATTAATGACAACACATTCTGTCAGTCAGATCCCACCGAGAGGGTAAGTCTGTTTTTCAAAAAAAAAAATTCTCAGAAAATGAAGTATGATAATATCCTAATTTTCTCTAAATTACTGTTCTGTGAGGAACCGATGGATGGAATAGGTCTTATTTTATCAGTTTTTTGGTAAAATGCAAGCCTTTCATCAAAAAATGATGAAAGTAGAATTTTGGTTTGGTAAGATGCCTTACTTTGGTTTAGAAGTGTTAACTTTGAAGGTGAGACAGTGATGACCGGTGCACCAAGGCCATTGCGAGAAGGCTAAAGTCTTGTCAAATTGCTTCTGTCGGAAAAATCATTGAGTCGGTAATCCTTTCAAAAGACGAAAAACAATCAGGATCACCGGCAGGCTGATCACTAGACGATTGGTCGAAGAAACTGAGGAAATCGCCAAGTATATAGCTGGAATGCCTAGACAGAATTGAACTAATATAAAAAAGCTAGCCTAAAATATCCCGATTCATAAATTATTATTCCCTCAACACCTTCACTGAACATCGCTATCAGATTGATCGCGAAAAAACATGCTTTTTCTTCCCGAAATTACCACACAGCATATTCGATTTGCAGATCGTCGAGGCGATCAAATTTGGGCAGCAGCTCCATGGTCACTCGACGATCTGCTGCAGCTGCAATGGACGCAAATGCACCGATGAACCAGTCCAGTAATTCTAGCTCGTAAGTTCATTTCCCGGGATTAGTGTCAAATTGTGTTTTGGCAACGGGATAACGGGATCGCCTCATCGCTTACCATCCCTCAGAGTGATTACCACTGTCCCCAATGTCCAATCCCGAACTTTTGACTAAAAGATCCCAGTGGATGCAGTTAATGGATTCACAACTTGCGCTGTTTTGCTGTGGCTATCGATTACACAGTAGTAGAATGCCAGCGTTTAACTTTTTTTTTTTTGTAAAAGATTGATTTTAGATATTAGTTAACATCGACTTCTAATCCAGTCACAGCCCTTGGGCACTTAAATACCTGAATCAAGGCGAAATTCTTAGATTTTTTTCGAACCGCATCATTTTTATACCGATTTTAACCGAACTAATTTCATATTGCTTGTGATCACACTGATTTTTGTATTATTTTACGCGCACGAATATTATTGCAGGAGTCCAGTTTCCACGTACGATACTTCATCAAGTCAGGGTTCGTTTAGTGTATATCAGAATTCAAACTCATCACTGGGCCCAGAAAACTGTGCAGGTTCTTCAAAAATTCATACTATGCAAAAAAATTTGGCTCTTTTCCCTCTACTATTGAATTTTAATCGAAATTTTCATCGGCACTGAATTTATAACTTTAAAAGTTAGTTTCCCTTATCCCTCCAAAAGTAAATTACACATAAAAATGTACTGCATGCTTTCGTTCCTATAACTTTTATAAATAAGATGGATTTAATCCAATTTTTTACTTGTTTTCTCCCTGTATAAA